GAGTGGTTTTTCAAATAAAAATTAAACTCTGCAAACAATTTCCACTTTTTTTTTTGTGTGAAAATTTGTTCCTAATTTATCTTTTTCAGGAAATTAAGAAGAGAAAATGTTGGTTGGCAAATTTTTTTCTTTGAATTTATGGTATTACAAATAATGAAACATAGATGTATTGAAAATAAATTTCACTTATTCAAAATCGTTCAATTACTACTCGATACATAGTATTCAGAGATTTCAAATAAACAATAATTTGTTATAACAAAAGGTTTTTTTAAAAAGGTTGTTATAACACAATATGCAATATGTTCCAATCCGAATGGTAGCACAACATCGATATTATCACAAATCACTAGGTTATATATTTTGTATTTATCTGACAAAAATAAAATAAGAGAATTTTATTAATAACTAAAAACAAAAATTATAACTTGATGTTCTTGGAAAATCTCCGTATGAAAGCATGACACATTGTTGATACGAGAGTTCAACAGTACATTTATTAAATAGTAAAGAAGCTCGAAAATTCTCGTTTATTGATATTATGCTCGGAAATAGATTACAAACAGCATCAACAGAATAAAGAAGGTAAAGGATGTTGAACTCGGAAGCTAGTAGACTAACGAACTTTGGGTAAATAAACTGACTGAATAACGAGCTCATGAGATTGGGAACTAAGTAGTAAGCGAATGTCCTGAGATCGGGGCTGACTGACACGTATTCTAAGATCGGACATGGGTGATAGGTACTCTGGGATCGATGATAAGCGCATATAAAAATCACTTTATCTGATGAATTCTTGTACGATTCCGGCGGAATGTACGAACATAATTCTTTCTCTCTTAAATTAGTTAGAGTCGAGAAAACAGTTAGTTCTCTAGTCCATTGTACTACTCCAAAAGAGGCAAAGTGATAGGACAACTCAATGAGAGGGGTCTCATTTGTATACTAGAATGAGAAAGTATATTTATGTAGGATTTTCTTGGAATGTGAGTTGGGCCTTTAATTCTGCCGGGCCGGGCTCTGCGAGATGAGCTTTATAATTTGTCAATTATAAGGTCCATGCCCAACAGTAGCCCCTCTCCAGTCGACGAATGCGTTGGTTGGTGGGCTCTTCGATGTGGTTCGGAGGCCCATCATCTGCTCGCTTCTGATTGGTTCTTCCGAAGCGGTGCACGAGACCAGAAGCATTTGCAACATCCAAGTGTTTTTTTATATTTTTATTTTTATTTACAAAATTTGATTGACTAACAAAAAAAGCTTAATGTTTTTGTAAATATTTTTACTTTTAATCATATAATGTTTTTTAGTGAGAAGGTAAAAAAAAATTGAAAAAAAAGTTATGATATTTTATCTTATTCATTAAACATCAAAAGAAAATTAAATTCAACTAATGAAAAATTAAGAATAGTTAGATATATTTTCCAAAAACAAAAAGAATGGGTTGATTGGTATTTGACAATTTTGTGGTTTGTGCCGATGTACCAAAGAGGGAACCGAGCCTTGCCTTCAACTTTTTTTCTTCGCGGTTTCTTGAAACTTTATTGGAAGATTCAAATACGTGTGGACATGTAGAAGTCAATTCATTTTGCATCAAGTTGATGTGATGATGATTAAGTCAATTTAAATAGCACATCTCTGTTTGTTTCTGAGCAATTAAGTGAACGACAATAACAAGAATTTTAAACAGTTAAAATATCAATGAAGTTTGAAAAAGAAAACAAAGAACTCTAATCCACGAATTGCTTGTTTTTTTTTTTGCTAAAAGATTTTCAGCACGAAGTGCTTGTTGACGACGGTAAGACTATATAATCCGGAGGGGATTTTTTTTTTTTGGTATAGCCAAGTGGGTGTTTGATTATTTAGTGTTTCTTATGTCTTCCACAGTTATACATGCATCATCTAGTATAATTTCAGCATCAAACTATTCAACAAAGTTACTTTTCCAAAAAAAAAAAAAAAACAGGATTTAGAGCTTTAATATCAAGATGATCACTCAATCATGACTTCATAAGTAACCTATGATTTATGAAAATGTTCTCTTTCGGTTAATAGGCTTGCTTATATATCTAATCTAGTCATGGATTCCAAGACTCGAAGAGGAGTAGTAACTTGAGAAATCCTTTATTGAATTAACTATGATAAGTTTGTAACCACGAACTTCTTTACTAAATAAAAGAAACACTGATTACAAAAATCCCAAAGTACCATAACCCAAGAAGATCTCATAGCGATCTCCAAAGACTCAAAAGCGTATATGGGTCTAATCTGGGCCAGAATATAACAATCGAGACCCATTAAGGTATAAAACCAGGGCTAATTGAACGATAACGAAACCCTTTTCTAAAGTGTAGTAGGTAACGTGAAGCGGTTCTTCTTTTCTCCCACATCGGAAGCTTGGCGATGAGACACTCGTGTGTTTGCTATATTACTTTGTGTTTAGCTCGTGCTAGGTTTCCTGCTTTTACATAATGGAATATGTTGAGCTGGTAAAAAAACTAACAAAACCAACATAATCCTCGATTCCAAACTTGTTTATTTTTGAAGAACAACTTAACATTAAAGAAACTTTTCTTCGATGAAATAGGCGGCGATGAATGCAGAGGAAAAAGTTGGGTGGGAAGAGATTGTGGATTCGAGATTTGATATACAAGAAGTGAATGAAGTGCGGCTTTTGACTCGTGCACCAAGAAAACGTCCCAACATGAGGGATATTGTGCAGGTTTTGACTCGCGACGTTAAGGTTAGACATAGCAGAAAACATCAGAGGAACTATCCTTCTCCGCCTCCTCGTACGATGGAGGCCGGTGGGGAGCTAACCAGAACCAGATCAATTCGGTCGGAAAATCATCGTAGGGATAATTCTATTGACAGTGCAATTGAAGACTAGTGATGTGTTGAAACCAAAAGTGTGAAGTTTATAATTCTTTGGTTCACTGCACTTTTGCTTTTGATTTGTACACTAATGGACCTATATCACCTATGTATTTGATGGATGTACTGAATACCTTTTAAGGTAAAATGTAAAATTGCTACTAGATATAACACATTTTTGCTTCCTTTAGTAAGCTTAGTTAGGATGATCCTTAAACAGGAGATTTATTCAGAATTGATACAATCTTGACGAGTATTTTACAACATGAGTGCACTTACAAAGCTATGGAATATGTTTATAAGTATCAAAGTTTTACAGGGAACAAACAATCTACAAAATGCTTCATATGGCTAAACCTTAGTGTTCAAGCCTCCAGAAAGCAGCTCAGTTTTGGGATTTGGTACTTTCTTCTGCGTAGCCCGCTTCCACCTCATGTAGAATACAAATAGATATATGAGAAATCCGAAGGCAACCATCATATACGTGCATTTGAATATCCCTGGGAGCCTATACTTCAGATACAGTGAAACTCCATAAGAACACATTAGAGGCACGGAGATGGCGATATACCACTGAGTATATACTCTACCAACTGGTAAGAGTATAAATGTCAAGGCAATAGCCAATAAAAAGGCTACAGTATTAAGTCCCCATAGTAGTACAATCTGTAGTATCATCTTTTTGAGATAGAAAACTTCATCATTTTCTTGCGGTTGGGCTGCGGTCTGATAAGTAGCTGTGATAATCAGAGCCGTTATTACTAGAAGAGCGTTCCGTGTTCCGTCTGACACGCCACTTCTGTAACGTGCCATTCCCGTGGAGCAATATTCCTTGAAAGTGACCGGTTTTCTCAGGATGACCGATGTTTTCTCAACTTGGGATAGAGAAGCTGCGCTCTTTCCACCCGCTTTTTGTATAATCTTCTCCGTTTCTGTGTTCATGTGAGGTCCATTGGCTCGCAAGACATCAAGAGCTGTCATATCACTCTTGTTCTGGATGTTCCGGTTCAGTGACATGCATTTCAACAACTGTTTTACTGACTGTATACATGTTTCACCACAACTTTATATATTAGACACTTTTTAACACTAAAACCCCAAAAAATTATGTATACTAGATTTTTGTCCCGCATCAAACGTGGAAATAGAGTATTTGAAAAGAAAAATTCATAATTTTTTATAATACACGGGAAAATTAGACATAACAAATATCAAATGTTTAATCTCCTATATAGATAAATATATTTTATCTTACAAAATTTAATTTGCATGACACTTAGATTAAATGTAAGCGTTTTTTATGTAAATCGAATACGTTTGAGATTATCGGCTCTTTCAACCTTATTTGAGTTAACCAAAACAAATACTCACATTAGTATGTAAAAATATTTTCAAATAAAAAATCAAAGAAATACTACAGGTGAAAATGATAATTTTTTGAAATTCAACTATTAATGTTTGATTAGTAAAGTTGTACGTTTATAACAAAAACGTAACTTTAATAAGAGTAATACATATACAATTAAGCGATATAAAAAGAATAATTGTATGATCAATCACATATGGTATCCAAATGGATATTAACAAAAAGTTTATAAAGTAAGTGATATCGGTAAATAATTCATCGTTAAAATATTATGTT